GTATCTCAAAAAGCTAAGATCGCTGAGCAAAAGGCTGTACGTAAGGCTGTGAGGGAGACGAGACGGCGCCTCCGAGATGCCACCCAGCAGCCAACACCTGCCTCTGCAGAGGCCTCAACACCAAGTCAACAGGCACCAGTAATGCGTTTTATACACTGGGAGATACTTCCTACTTAGTAGCTATAACAAATATATAATGTTTTACGTGTTTGCGCGGTCAATTTACTATACAAATCGTGTGGGTTAATGAAATTGACGTTGAGCTGGTGGTTGACGTTGAGCTGGGTAGGGCCTAGTTCGGAAGAACTAGGCACGTGGGGCGAGTATATCCCGCTATTTATCCTACTTACAACGGTAAGAACGCACACGCTGCACTTAAATGAGCCTAAGTCCGCCGTCCCATTTACCTGTGTTACGATTACTCTTTGGAGCTTTTATTACTGCACAAAGCTATGCTTATTAACAGATTGTCTGAAGTTTTTATTACGATATGTTTCTTGTGCGCTCAAGAATCGTGTATTCCCCATGTTTGAAAATAGAGTTTTGTGGAGGAAGATAGCTCCTAGCAGCAGTAGCTCAGGTGATCGTGTATTGGATCACTGGCCTCTCGTCCGAAAGGCGCAGCTCAAATATATATTCTACGAGCCCCACACTAGGCAAAAAGCAGATAAAAGGAAATATCAGCCAATAGCGCTTGGTAAGCATGTATTACCCACGCGACAAGTTTTGCACAGAGGCTGAATTCACACAACTATCTGTATTTCACAAGAAGCTTAAAAGCTGCCGCACTAATTCCAACCACTATAGCCCAGTACATCAAACCACGTGTAACTCGAGCTTTCCGCCGATTCTCCATAGTAGCTCGATCGTTAAGTCGCGGATAAGGTATAGGTTCGCCGTGCTCATCCACCGGCACCGGCACGCCCAGCAGATCGCAAAGCGGACCCCAGCCCGCAGTCGACTCAAAATCTGGCAACAGTCTCTCAGGCGGTACGACCTCCTTAACGAACTCGTTATACCCTTCGTACAACTGTGCGTTGTTGGCATCTCTGTATCCAGCACCGAACTGTCTTCGACCCCACGCCACAAGGTCCGGCCGCAGGCTTGAAGGCTTCAATAGCCGCGTCCACAACGCCAGCAGTGTTCTGCCCGAATATCCGCTTTCAACGGGCCTCATGGCTGAATCGACGGAGTTTTTCCACACGGCTGTTGATGAGCGGATGCTGTGCACAACTTGTGTGTCAGGATATATCTCAACGAGATCTTGTACGAAGACGGAGGCTGGGTAGGCAAGCGTAGCCGCGTATCGCCCTTGCTCGAATATCTGTCGCAGCAGCGCTTGTCGTGCGGCTTTGTGCTCATCGCCGTATAAGGACAGGGCTTGCTTCCAGCGTCGCGACTGCGTGCATGGGTAGGTCTCTTGCATCACATCAGCATAATGGAGACATGGTTTGAGACCTAATATCTCTAGTGCGGCTTTGAGTGATGTCGTTCCTGTGCGTGGGAGACCGGCCTGTTGTTGTTTGCCTTGTTTAGCATTTCCGTTATTATTCACGTGTGAGAAACAAGAATCTTGCATACATTGATGATGCGTGGACCTTCGTAGCTCGTATCCTCCGACATATTCATTGTATTTACCAAGCTTTTAAGGAACCCCGCGATTTTTGCGTAGTCAGAGTGCGGAGAATCTTGTTAAACACCATCACCCGGAGAAACTAGATCAATTCCAGGAGCTCGAGACTTTATTGACTGGAAGGTTAAATTACCTATCGTTTCTATATAGGACTAGGGCCACAGCAAGGTCAGGGCAAAAGCAGGGGCTCCTGGACTGCGCACTGAGTGTTGAGCAAACTTAAACCGTTGACCATCGGGTGAACCGCAGGTGTGAGCCTGAGCTTCTTCTCAGCGTGGGCTCACGAGACATACCGGATTACCATGAACCAGGACGGCGAGCAGAAATAGATAGCCTCGCTCCCCATGTAGTGGAGACCCCGGTAAGCTGGAGCTAGCCAATGAGAACGCAAATTCAGCTAGCGTTGATGCGAAATGCTGTACAATGTATTCAATTGTCTCATTCCGGCCCACAGGGTTTTCCGTCACATAAGTGGGGATGTTACTACGATACGAGGATGTCTCAAACAAGCTACAGTTAGTGCTTACCCGTTCCGCATCAAAATCAACGGGACGAGTTGGATGACGTGTCGCTATTCAGGAAAGCTCTTTCAGTCGAAACTTGCCGATAAATCTCGAAAGGGTAGCGGAGACAATTCAATGTAGGAGAACACAGTATACTTGGTGGTTTATTGATGAACACGAGGACAGCAAAGTGTCCAACGCCAGCTGCAACAAATAGAACATGATGACTACGATGTCTCTTGACCAGCCGGTTCATCCTCCCAAAGAACCAAGGATCGGACTTCCAAGCTTGACCTCTCCGGCCCGTGATCGAAAGGTGTCTCAAAGGCAGAGTGCGGCGTGCGACGCGCAACGTCCTCACGAGTATCGAAGAACTTCATGAGCACTGCATCTTCGGGTTTCATATCACTCATATACAGCCACCGGTGCTGGTCTGGAGAACGAGGCTTTTCCATCATCCACATGTATGCAGGCGGCCGCCCACTTTGACCCCGGCCCTTCGTCATCCCCATAACTTCACGTAAATCTTCGTCTCCGATGCTGCTTGCATCACAAATGCCCAATGGCATCCTCGTAGCGGTCTTGATGATTGGTCTCCAAGTCGCAATGATTGCCCAGCGGCATTTCATGGCCTTAGCAACCGCTTCTGGACCCCAGGCCTCGATGTATTGTCGTGCCCCTGTATAGGAAAAATCTACATGTGCGAGGGTTGCATATGGTCCTATTCGCTTGCGTTCACCAGAAATGGGGTCGCCGGTTGCAAGTTTTTCATCTCCGTTGTCTTGCCGTTCCGTTGAGGGCAGCGGCGGATCGTGCTGCACTGTAGTGTGGTCCTGTGGTCCTCGATCTTTGGGAACACCTCGCACAACCCTTCCTCTGGGAATCACAGTCGTGGCACCCGTACTACATGCATTGAGATTAGCCTTTCAGGAACGTTGTAAAATCTATGCACCTGGTTGAACCTACTGTTTCTTGATGAGATCTCGAAGTTCTGCATAGTAAACCTCGTTCAGCTTGTCCCGATCTCTCCATTCGCCATTCCGCCCGAAATTGGATCGATGCTTCACAAATTGGAAACCATGTTTGTCGAGCTTGAATTCATGCTCGTGGCCTCGGACGTCTGTCATCAAGACGTCGGCTTGGAAATATGTATTCACGTTGGTGTCGTTTCCGGTCCCAAGGCGGTATTCGTCGGTACCTCCATTTTCAGATCCACGCCAGAAGTTGAGCGTAGCCAAGAAGGTCTTCGGTTGTGGAGAATCCATAGCTGGGTAGCAAAGGGTTAGTTTCGTCAAAGAGATTGAGGCATGCGCATGTGCAGAGCCAGGGATATGGAACCGGCCTTTAAAGCCTCTGCCGACGTTAGCACATTGATAGGATTTGGTGCCAAGCCATAAGCTATGAACAAGAGCAATTAAAATGCAACTTCTTATTAAACGATCAATACTCCCGGAATGTAATCCTTGCTGCATCGGTCAGCTGTGCACACATATGCCCTATGATACAACTCGTACAATTGGCTTCACACATGGCCTGGCAGACTAGTTGCAAAGACTCCTCCACTGCGAGATATCACCTCAATAGGTCTTAACACAACGACTGCAGATCTTCTGTGACTGCAGTATTTTTTGCTGTACTGTGAGGGGTGTTGACGATTATTCGAAACATTGACGTGGCGCCACGTACTTTAGTTCTTCCGCTTACTCCCGAATCCCGTGCCCAACGCTACGCTCGCATGACCACGTGATTATCTTGACTGAAGCCTGATCATCGTACACCGCCTCGGAAAGAAAAGACATAGTTTATGCTATATATACTTTCACAAGGGCAGGTTCAGTAAAAGCCGGGGTATCCTTGATCGTTCTCAATGTTTAACAAAACGGACTGGGGACTAATCTCCCCCCCTGCGTAGCGAAAGACCCCTGCGTCGCGATAAGAACAACAGGTACTTTGACTTTTGACCAGCTTCACCCTTTCTCTACAGCGTAGTCGGGGTCAGAAATTTTACCAACATTATTAGCAAGTTAATATTTACATATTCTGTAGTTTATATCTAAAAATTACACTAAATACGTTGCTACATCATATAGTTCGCACCAAACGCGCACCATCTACAGAACATAATTCTAGCTACAACAGCGTAGTCTTAGCTACTTACTTTCTAAAATTTAGTTTTATAGGTCCTTATGCCCTTTTGATAGTATATATATTATAGTCTAGCAGTATACAACTATATACGTGCTGCAGAGCTGGTATCCGTTACGCAGGGAGGTACATGTAACGTACTGCAGCGACAAAAGCGGATACAATAGTACTGTTATGTAATCTTCGCCTACGCAGCCCTGCGTACCGCTCGGATATAGCTCGGTGTAGATCCTGGCAACTAGCGTACAGTTTACACTAGTTAGATGACTTCAGGCTGGTATGCACTCGTCGCTAATGTATAGTTTAAGGGCAGGGACTGTAACGTGATAGCAATAGTAGAATTACATTACAAATTTTGACTCTCTACTTTGCATGCGCGCCAATGCACGCTCTGACACCAGCCGGTCTGGGTGAGTCTCTGCTAGCGTAGTCTCTTTCACCTTGACGACGTGCTCTAGCAGCTCTACTGCCTCTTTCATCTGCCCATTAACCCAGTACGTACAAGCAAGAGCGTGCTACGACCCTAACTGATTAGGGTGAGTCTCTGCTAGCGTTATCTCCCGCACCTTGACGACGTGCTCTAGCAGCTCTACCGCCTTCTTGACCTGTCCGTCTGCTTGGTATGTCGTGGCAAGCGCGTGCTCGGAGGATAACTGACTCTTGTCGTCTTTATTTCGGTCCGCTCTGAGCTGGCTGCACTCTTCTAGCCACCTTACTGCTTCCCGCGTCCTGCCTTCCATCCCTAAACACCGCCTGACTAGCAGACACAACCCCGCCCGTGGTTTAGCTTTATCTACCTCTTCGCTCTCGAGAAGCCGTAGTACATGAGGCAAATATGCTCTCTACACTGCGCGGTTTTCATAGTCGTTAGTCGGAAAGATGACTGTAACATGGCGTACCGCCTTCTTAGCTGCTTCGCTGCTGCTGCCGTGCTCACGAGTCTAGATGCGGGCCGCAAGATGCACTAGACGATGCATATCGTACCACTCCTCCTGCTCCTCCTCGTCATCCTCGTCCTTGTCCTCGTTATCTTCATCATCCTCTCGTCGTGTGAGGAACGAGTACCGAGAGAGCATCCCGATAGCCACTTCCATCTCCTCCTCCAGCCCTGCTCTTGGCAACAGCGATCGTGGGATTGCCTTCCACTCGATGCACGACATGAACTCTAGCAGCTCTGCCGCAGCTGCACTGCGCTCGCGGATCTGTCTAAACGATACTAACCACGTTGTAGCCACCGCATTCGCCGATCCTCTGTATCGCGTATTATCACGAAACTCTTCGCTCATAAGGCCAACTATCCCCTGCTCTGTGCTCCGCAGCAGCTTCAAGTACATCCTAATCGACATGCGGTTTACATCTAGGTATGCTGCTGCCTGCGCGATGACTAGTGGTAGGTAGGCAAGCTCTTCAAGCAGCTGGCCTCTCGCGCTATCGTCTCGCAGCTCTTTTCGAATCAGCGACTTCTCAAGGAAATCAGCTGCGTCAGGCTGACTCATTGCTCCAAGCTCCAGCACGTCGCTGCCGCTGAGCGACACAGCCACCTCGAACGTGCGTGTCGTGTACACTGTCACGCCCTCCTCGCTTTGTGGCAGGTAGTCGACGATACCCTTGGCTTCTCTGCTCCCGGATAGCACGCCCGGGTCATCAGCATTATCCAACACTAATAGCCACTTCCCTGCTCGCTCTGTGCTTAGCCATTCCTGCACCAGCTCTTTCGTGTCTTCTTCTTTGTCTGCTGCTTGTGGTATGTGCAGCGCCTTTGCCACGTCTGCACATGCCTGCTCAAAGCTCTCCATGCTTAGCGCAGGCAGCCAGAAGACCGAGTAGTCTTGCCATGTCTCCTTAACAGTATACACAAACTGTAGGGCTAACTGTGTCTTGCCTATCCCTCTAAGTCCAACGATAGAGATCTTCTAGCAGTCACGGTCTACTATCAGCCTCTGCTTTAGCTCGTGGAGCTCGCTCCTACGTCTAACAAAAGATCAGTTCTTTAAGAATGGAATATAAGAGACGTGGATGCTAGCTATAAGCGTATTAGTCTATAAAATAAACGAGAAGAGTAGTGCCTACTATATTGGATGCGTGCGATACAGCGTGTTAGGTGTTCCTATACTGCCTTAGCAGGTTCCTATACAGCAAATGCGAGACAAGGCCTACGCTAATGACTAGTGCGAAATCTGATTCTGTTCTATCTACGCAGCGTCAGCACTAGGCTGTTTGTCTTCCTAGGCAAAGTCCTTAATGTACACACTCTGCTTCTGCTGTAGGTTCTTAATGCAGTCCTGCACCCGAAACTTCTGCGCCTGATGTTGTAGATACTCGCCCGTCGCTACTTCCATCCTGCCCTGCTCTTTATACTCAGCGAGCCCGACTTCCTGCAGCCCCTAGTTAATATTAAAGCGGAAGTACCGCTTCTCGTCATAGTATTTCACCCACCGCGCGATAAACTTCCTCTCTATCTCCTCTATCTCTATCGCGATCCTAACTAGGCTCTTTAACAGAAACTTAGCTATATTGTCCTCTAGCGCCTTCTTACCAGGGTTCCTAGTACTAATAGAAATAAAACACTTAACTAGCGGCTTTAGATCGCCTGTGTTGAGGCTCCAGATGTTAGCCGCCTCGCCTTCTACCTAGTCGACAGAGTTATTAGCGCCCAGCGCGCCGTCCACAAAGTATCGCGCCCCGATCAAGACAGGGTCGAAGAAGCCCATCGCCGCCGACGTGGCAAGGGCTGCCTGGCAGATGGTCGCAGGGATCTCGCCTTCGTTAGGCAGCGCGTAGCTCCTTAGACGTGTGATGCTGGCTGTCTCTTTCGCCGTCGCACAGACGAACCTTATGCTGTATTAGTAGGAGGCTATATACCTATATAGTACACTTACGTGTGACACCTACGCTTCTTACCGTCGTTAAAAGCATCTACTAAGGAGGCATCTATCTTAGAGATTGCCTCTTTAATAGCCTTCTTCAGCTTCGCTAAGTTAAACTAGGCCTTCACTTTGCCGCTCTAGCTAATAGGGAGCTAGTTAGACTTTTCCTCGAACACCGTCTTTATTAGATCGCTATACGCTGTAATGCATAAGTCAACGTCCATCTCTAGCCGGCCTAGCATAACAGCGATAAGTCTGTCACGTCAGTCGTGTCTGGCCGGCATACAGTCCTCTACCTACCCGCCTATGCTCGTGCCGCCAATGAGGTCAAACACCTCACATAGCTTTACACAAGAAAGACTAGCTTTCTAGCGTTCGTAGTTTAGTCTAGTCATCAGACCTTTTAGGATGTACAGCGTCGACAGGCCGCGCACGCCGCCGCCGTCGAGCGATAATAGGCAGAGGCCGGTAGTGTCGAGCGGGTTGAGCTCGCCGCCGTACTAGGTCGCGACGCTCTAGGCCATTGCAGTGTTTTACGGCGAGATGTGTTTGTTAGTTGTAGAGTGTGCTAGGTCAGGTTAACGGCAGACACATAGCGAGCGTCCATAGTGGGCGAGGGGCCTTTCTGTAGGCTAGCAATAAGGCTGGCAACAAGGCTGAGAGCTGCAGGATGTGTGCTGTGCAGCAGGCGGCGCAGATAGCATCCCGCCAGTATTAGTGTTACGAAGCGCCGGCACGGCTGCCACACCCGGCCCCACCGTTCGCCCATTATTATGAGACGAACCATGCAGTCTTTCCCTTTAGCCTTTCTTCTGTAAGATAGTACGTTTAACACTCGTCAACGGCACCACTAAGTCCCGACGAGGTGTAAATAGTAATAGAGGGACAAGGAGGTCTATCGCTAGCGAAGTTCTAATAATAGCTGTCAGTAGTTAAGCCACGTCTATAAGTGTATCCTGCAGTGCGCAGCGTATCGCTATCTTTAATCACTTCTTCTCTCGCTCGTCCGTCACCATAACCACCACTGTGAGATAGACAGCGCCAGTGTTACGTTATTAGAGGGTCTCGATCCCTCTAAGGCTAGTAGTTTTGTTGCTCTGTCGAGGTCTAGTAGAATTCTATATACCACGCTCTAGCACCGCGCACACGGACGACCGTCACTACAGGACAAGGCGAAAGGTCAATAGTACCTTAACCCCTCCAAAGAGTAGTCTCTCGTTAAGTACTTACTACGCATGTCTAGGAACGGCTTCCTTATCCCTATTAAGTACCTGCGTTCACTAGCCTTTGTAATTGCACGCCAGCGCTCCTCCATCTTCCAAGCGCCTGCAGCAGGCGAGACGATCCGCCCTCTTAGTAAGAACTGGCCTTAAGCCTTCTACAAGCGCCATCCCGAGCTTAAGCCGAAGAGAGTGAAGGCGCTAGATTAGAATCGCCACGATCAAAACATCTATAAGAAGGTATCGCAGTGGTTCGACATTATTAGGGCAGAGCTAGACAGAGCGGACATCTTGCCGGAGAACGTGTACAACATGGACGAGACAGGTGTGATGTTAAGCATGCTTGGCTCCCTTAAGGTTCTCGTAGGTAGAGACGACCTGCGCACCTACCGAGGCGCGGGCGTCAAGCGGACGATGGTCACCGCGATCGAGTGCATCTCCGCGGACGGTAGGTACTGCGTGTAGTCAGTGCGTGCAACAGTTCAGCCAATGCAACACCCCACCAACATGGGCGCCCACCAAAAAATGAAGCTTTTGACCACCACCAAAACGTTATTATCGCGAGGTTTTTTAGTAGAGTACTGATATAATAGTATATTTGATATAACGTGTTCCACCAGTAAGCGGCCCACCCCAGTAAGTGGCCCACCCCACCAAACTTGACCTGACGTTCTACGCAATTGAGTCACAACAACGTAATAAAATAAGATAAAACTTGAAAAATATAATTTATT